TTGACTTAGTCCTACTTGAAGATTCAGTTTTTGTTGAATATACGTGAAACTGAGTGTCACAATTTCCGCTTGTGTGACCGATCCTTTGTCAACAACTTCATTTTTTCTAAATTGGACCTTCAACTTGGGAAGGGATACAATTATGGTTTCATGGTCATTCAAATTTTCATTTGTCCATCAATGGTGGTAATACAACCATGACTTCATCCGGTTGTTCGTATGCAACTTGAACTGGCACAAGAAAGACAACATTTATATATGTTGATCAATATCGCCATAACATGAATACCACCATAACATGAGAACAAGGTATACTAAACAATTTTCATTTCCCACACGTGCAACAACAAGATTGAAAGTTGGCTATACCTTTTTCATTTGGTCAGTCACCTCATATATACTTTGATCAATATAGTATACATGAAAACTGGAGGATTTGTTGATCCTCTTTTCGATAACCTTTTCAGCATACTCAATAATATATTTTTTGCTTTGAGCTATAAAAAAATTATATATATCTTGTCATGCAAGTAAATTATAGTAGAATTTCCATGGAAGTTATTGGATTAAGGTGTTTAAGCTAATAACTAAACTGGTATAAACTTGCAAATAAAAGCAAAATCCTTTTTGGGTTGCTCTTATAACAAGAAATAGCTAGAAATGATATTAGGAGAGAGAGAGAGAGAGAATTGATTTCTTCATATATTATGTGATTAATATATTAATTGGGAATAGATAATTGATATGTTAATATGTTATATAATTAATAAATTAACATAAGATCAATAGTTAAACAATTGATTTGTTAATTTATATGGTTAATAAGTTAATAATTCGGGATTAATTCGGGATGTAGTTAAAAGTGTAAGTGGTGAATTCTAAATGTTCAATAGTTGAACAAAAGAAACAATTCTAAAACCCTCCATCACATGGACGGGTTTGGAGGGGTTCTCAGGGTTTCTGGAAGTCTCCTGGATGCATATAAGAAAATGATTTGAATTGAGATTAATCTATTATTTAATCAATTCAAATCCAGCTTTGCATGTAGGTTGTCTAAACTATAAATAAGACCAATTGACTCTTTATTTTCGTTCATACCTTTAACTATAAGCTTAGGAACGAAATTTCTATCATTCTCCTCTATATCCTCTTTATTTTAGGGTTTCTAGGGTTTTGGGTACAAACCATTAGAGGCACTAAACTTTTGGTGCTTGCTTTACAAGTTTTTCAAGAATAATAGTGGTGTGATTATTTGATACAATAATCAAGAGGTATGTAACCCTAATACTATGTATATTTCGATTATAATAGGTTACCATTAGGGTTCTTGATGTTCATACTTTATTGCTATCAATAGAGAAAACATAGATCCAAATAGGTTGTATGTGAACTTAAGAGTTAAATATTTTTTTTGCCTCATGCATAGAATTATACCTTATAAAACCTATCAAAAGTATATAATTTAAATAATTATCTCCTGCATAACATCGTTGACACCATCATTGTTGCATATTTGCTCGAAAGAAGTCAATCAACATATTTATTGGTAGTTTTCGTGTGTCTTTTGATAACTTATTGATGGACTCAGCTTTATTTGATGTCATTATATTATACCGAACTACAGGGAAACACCACCTTGTCCATTTGTGGTAACCACATGGAAACACCACCAAACCATAGGGAAACACCACCTTGTCCATCTCAGTTTAGGGCACGACGTATCCTACCTAAGCTTTCTTTGAAAGCAAACTCTCAGTATGCTTTTGTAGCCTCCCAAACAAAATTTCGGTTCTCTCTTGTTTGCTGATTTTTGTTCTCATATTCATCAACAAATAACGACAATAGAGTCCGTGGTATACGCTCGAAAACACAGATTGAATGACCATTTCAATTGAATTGGCTCTATCGGATATGATAGCGAAAAAGAGCATGTCCCCAATTCTTTAAGTCTTGATAAAACCATATCCATGAATCCCCACTTTTTGTTTTTCCAACACCAAATGCAATAAGGAGGATTTGGTTATTATTGTCCACGCCCACTAGTAGGAACATCGTGCCTAAGTATTTCCCTTTAAGATGTGCTTCATAAATGATAATAATAGGACGCATGCATGTTTGAAATGCTCGAACCTACCCAATAATTATTTATAGATTACTCATTAAATCGAACACACATGAACGAACAATTAAATTAACTCATTATATAAGAAATATTATCGCAAAACCAATAGCCATGAAAAAGTTTTTTTTTTTTTATTTTTATTTTTATCACAATTTGTCTTTATATGTGTAACCAGTCCTGGAGTCTTCCTCTCAAAATTGTAACAATATAAAGGAAGTCTTTGAAATCTTTCTTCAAGGATCCCTCTCGACAGATTTAAAGCATATATTTTAGCACTTCAGGTATGAAATATGTGCACTAAGAGGGTGTTTGGGATTTCATTTTGAAGTTTAAAAGGACCTTTATCAAAAAGGACTTATTGGCTTATGAATGTGGGAAAAGTAGTTTTTAAAAAAGTGTTTGGATTAGTTTTTTAGTGGTAAAAGTCAATAAGTCAATAAGTTAAAAAGTGTTTGGCTAGCTTATTGATTTTTGGTTGTTTTTTATTCTAATAAGTCATAAGTCATTTCAAGAAGTCACAAATTGTAATTTTTTCAAAACTCATTTTCAAAGGCTAAACCAAAAGTTATTTTAAAAGTCCTTATTAATTATCTAAACACTTTTTTTTTTTATCTTATTAACTTTTTAAAAAGTCAATAAGTTAAAAATGAGGTTTTAGATGAAATCCCAAACACCACCTAAGGCGGTCATTTAAACTTCGTTGTATCTGTATTCCTGCCGCAACATATTACATGTACAATAAACTAATATTCCCTTCAAGAAGTGACTCAATACCTCTTTGTTGACTTATGGTGAATGGGAAGAAGCTGTGTGTTTGAGCAAGTGTGGTTCTCCGATAGTTTAACCACTTGAAATGTATCAATATCTTTATCTTATGTTGCCCGTATCTGCCGTTTACAATTTTACACAAAACAAACAACTTCAAACCTACGTTTTATAGATTTTCTCACTCTTATTTGGAACCCTTCCGTAACATATCTGAATCCTAATTTAAGCTTAAGTTCTTATTTGTTTTTGAAGATACTTCTTTGCATAAGAAGTATAATTATGGGATGTGACACCATTACGTTTTTGTTGAGCTAAATTGGATAATGGTACAGGTTCAGGCATACTCGAATGGGTAGTTTGTGTTTCTTCAAAATCAGAAAAATAACAACAAAACTTTTCCTCTTGTGGCTTTCGGAGTTTTAGGGGCTCAATTTCCTACTCTTTACCTTCAATATCATCCCCATCAAATTCAGTGAAATTACGAAAATGTTCAAATGGCTCTCTATGTGGAATTATAATATCATCGTCAACCAACAATATTAGTTTTTCTGCACCATTTGCAGATTCATCAACATTATCTACTGGAGAAGCTGTTGGGAATATTAGGGTTTGTGGTGGAGATCTGGATACCAACTTGGATCGTGATATCACTTTCCGAACTGATATTTTTAACCTATGCCTGGGTTACAAGAAATTCAGCCTAGGATAATCCAAGCAGACACTTACGTTTCTAGGCACAAAAAACGCAAGCCAATATGCTAAAGGGTTCTGTGAATGTGTGATGAAAAAACGAGAGCTCAGAAAAAGACCCCTTTCTGGAAAGAAAGAGTTGTTTATATACTAAACACGATTAGGGTTTCATTAGGGTTGGGCCATCATTAGTTGCTTTGGAAGCAAGTAATATTAATTCGGATTAGGGTTACCAAAAAATAACGAGTTTCGTTAGTTTTACCATAATCACCCTCAAGAAATTGAGTTTTCCATTATGTTCCCACATGCAAAATTCGGTGAGGTTAGCGGGACCCCAGCCAAGGGCTCTGCCCCTTGGACCCCGCCAAAGGGGCGCTGCCCCTGGACCCCCGATTAGTCGTTGAACCGGCTTCTGACTCGATCTTATACATGCGTGCACTCCACGCAACCCCCCGTACATGCATTAGAGTACAAATCATAAAACCCCTTAGCTCACATGTTAGTTACAGTTACTTAAAATGACATGGTGATACTAAAATCATCAACAAAAAGCATGATCAACAACCTTAGATTTATAACTAAAATCACCCCCATCTATAGGGTCATTGTAAGAAAAAACATGTTTGTTGTTATAAATATATAAATTACAAAGTTGGTTACTTCCAACATCGGAAGACCCATTGCCTCCATAATGATTTTCCTCAGAAAATCAATGAATACCACTTTCCATAACATTATTAACAACATAAAAATGTACTGTGTTAGAAGGCATATTAGTAACAAAACTAATAAAATATCTGACATCATGGTCGTCGAGAAACTGCATAACTATATTTTATCCAGGACATTGAAAAGATATACGTATTTGATTAGTATGTAACTTGGACTTGGAAACAACCAAAATAATTAACCCAACAAAGTTGATATTATTGTTTATATCTACACCAAAGCATGTATAGTTTGGAGCAATATATACTGCATAGATCCCTTGATACGCTGTCATTACCCTCCATTAGAAACTGACACTCGACAAATATATGTGTACATACTCATTCTTTTATATTACGAAAACTATCAAAGAATGTTGACTGTAGACAAATTAAGGAATAAATAGACAAATATATACCGCATGTAGCTTGTGGATGAACAAATAACATACAAGTACCCTAATTTTACTACTCTAGAACAATAGTCTGTAATGTCCATATATTTCGAATTTAAGTCTAAAAATACATTTTTCTAATCCACAACGTACGAGCATCAGATTCCGACCCCAAATCCTACCAACCACCACTGAATAAACACAAATACTCCGAAATTTCGTATTCTAGAAGATATTGTCCGGAATCCATTGTGTCGATCCGGAACATACAATTGTTAGATTTAAGACCCGATACGTTCCAACGACCCCAAGTCCATAATGAGGGTAACTACTCCAGAATACGATATTCCGGAGAAAATGATTATTTTTTAAAAACAATTTTAAAGTAATTATTTTTACTATAATAGATAGATTAATCAATTTCCCTTATTATTTTCTTTAATTTATCTACATCTAATTTTATCAATTAATTATTTATAAAATTCACTAATGTGTGACTATTGCAACTTGTCATCGGAATAAATTAGTTTATACTTGATGGTCGCCACGAGAGGTATCGTCGATTTAGAAGTCTTTGGAGAGGCTTTGCAAGACACTGCAACCGGTTGTCGTCTCCGAATACTGTATGTTCATCAGATCTCGTCATTCTAGCTTTCTCTGCTGTATAATCGTTGTTTAATTCCTTCACACACTGTCTCTATCTGCGATTTACATAAAAGGGAATCGGTTTTTGTGAATCATATTTTTGCTATTCTGGATGATTCCAAATTAATTGTTAAATGTATTACTCTTTGGCTCCATACCGAAAAATCGATAATTGTAGCAGATAACAATTTGTAAGTAATGCAAAAGAATTCATTCAAATCTAATCGAAGTTTCTTTTTTGTTTGTTACAGAGAGATTTGAATCAGGGAAGATACTTTTTGGGTAACATGATCTCGCAGTTCTTTGTATTATCGCAGAGAGGAGATAACATCGTTTTTCGTGATTGTGAGTTCTCGCTGTCAATGCGTGCATGTGTTTGTGTTAGATTTCATATAATCGATGTAATTGGGAAGATTATTCTACTATATGATTCTTAGCTACCTGCAATTATGAACAACAGGAATAATGACCTAACCTAATTTTCACAATTCAGTGAATCCATCAAGGAATACCTCCATTACGAGACCCAATTTTCAGTTGAAAAGTTTTTTAGGTTAAGGATGATGTTTTTGGGGATTGGCATCTCAATTTTGAGTTCAATTCGCATACAGACGGCTTAAAAGCTCTCATTTTTTGATTCATTAAGCTCAATTCCTTGCTGATTTTAGGCATTCGAGATATAAGGCATCTACTTAATGATCACTTCACACATTCTGTATCCAATAGGCACACAAAAACAAATACAATGGTTAAGAGTTCATTCCATTTCTTTATGATCCCTAAACATGTGAATTTAAAGGCTCTCTGTTCAATTCTTTTTGAAGGATCATCTTGATTGGCAAGTTGTGCATGCTGAGGGATTTCAATGTAGCCATAAAAATGTAGTTACTTAGAGTTAGATGAACTACAAATGAAAACATAGACTCATTAGGGATTTCAATCTGTCCAAAAGTATAGTTAGTTTATCTATAGCTTGCATACATGCACTTTCAATCTTTAGTTGATAATTTCAGTTAAATCTCTTAACAATTTGCTTCTTCACATATCTTTTCCTCTGACATTCTCCATTGATGCAGATCGTGGAGATGTTCAAAAAGGGAGTGCAGAGATATTCTTCCGTAAAGTAAAGTTCTGGAAAGAAGATGGTGAAACCGAGGCTCCACCTGTCTTTGTAGGTACCTTCTAAAGTGTACTCTGTTTACCTTTTATATATTAAATAGATCTTCAAGTCACATAGAATGTGGATATACATGTACTTGATTTCTTATGATAGAATGTGATTCCATATACTTATCTATACATTCTCTGTTTTTTGCATCTTTTGTGATTACTTGATTTGTTATGATAGAACGTGGATGGAGTCAACTACTTTCATGTAAAAGTGGTTGGATTGCTGTTTGTTGCAACCACTCGAGCAAATGTGTCACCTTCTCTTGTGTTAGAGCTTCTACAAAGAATAGCACGTGTCACAAAAGATTACCTTGGCATCCTCAATGAAGATTCCATAAGAAAAAACTTTGTCCTTGTGTATGAATTACTTGATGAAGTTATTGTAAGTCTTTTTCATCTACTTTACTCATTTCAAGTCTTTTTCATCTATCTTATCTTACTATCTACTTATTTTATTTGAACTCAGGATTTTGGTTATGTGCAAACAACATCAACTGAAGTTCTAAAGTCATCTGTATTTAATGAGCCAATCATGGTTGATTCAGCACATATGCCACCTCTTGGTCCTGCTGCTCTCTTTATGGTATATACTCATATTACTTAATTAAGTTATTATCTTTATGAAATTTGAATTTGTTTTTATTTTTGTTTTTTTTTTAAATTTTTTTAACTTTTGATGTTTGATGAATGTAGCAAGGGAACAAGAGAATGCCAGGGACAGCTGTCACGAAATCAGTTGTGGCTAATGAACCTGGGGGTAGGAAAAGGGAAGAAATTTTTGTGGATATAATTGAAAAAATTAGTGTTACATTCAGCTCAAGTGGATATATTCTAACTTCTGAGATAGATGGCACTATTCAAATGAAAAGTTATCTTTCTGGGAATCCTGAAATCCGATTGGCTCTTAATGAGGATCTGAATATAGGAAGAGGTGGCAGATCAGTTTACGGTATAATAATATAATAATATTCATTTTTCCAAAACTAAATTATATGTTTCGTTAATATATTCTTGTAATTTGAATACAGACTATGGTGGTTCTAGTGGATCAGGAGCAGTTATACTGGATGATTGCAATTTCCATGAATCTGTGCATCTTGATAGTTTTGATGTGGATAGAACTTTGACTCTTGTAAGTAATTTTAATAAATTTTATCTTTTTTTTTTTTTTAAAGAAAACACCCGACTTTATATTTTTTGCTTTAAATTTAGGTGCCTCCTGATGGTGAATTTCCTGTCATGAATTATCGTATGACTCAAGAATATAAGCCACCTTTCCGTATCAACACTTTGATTGAAGAAGCAGGATCACTTAAGGTATATATTTTATATTTTTATTACAGATTAATATATTATACATGATGAATTAATTATATGTGTTTTTTTTATAAGGCTGAGGTGATTTTGAAAATACGTGCTGAGTTTCCTCAAAATATCACTGCGAATACAGTTGTGGTTCAGATGCCACTGCCAACTTATACATCCAGGTACTTATTAGTTATGTACAAAATTCGTTTTATAATCTTAATTAATATTTAATAAATAATAATATCCACATAGAAAGTTAAGTGTTTTGATGATTCAATTCGATAATCATCGTATATCTTGATGTTATGAGTTCACATGTAGGAATTTTAAGGTGAGAGTGCATATTGGATTATTGAGAGTTTTAGACTTTAAGTGGCATGCCTTATGGGTTTAAAGGATAAGGCGTTGTTTGTTTTTTCGGAGACAAAATGTCTGGAGCCTGCAGACCATATCTGCAAACCTTTGCAGGAGAAGAGCTGGACCAAATGTCTGCAATCTGCAAGAAGAAGACTGGTTGTTTTTTTAACGTCTGCATGCTGTTAAAATAAACTGAGATTTAGATATACCGGTTTTTTTAAACATAAAAATATTACGACAAATTAAATTTTCATCATCTATAACTTAAACAACTAAATAAAGCATACAACTAATTCACTGATATAGTTAGGGGTGAGCAAAAACCGAACCGATAAAAAAACCTGATAAAAACACAAAAATAAAAATATCTACAAAACTAAATAAATACAACTAAATAAAGCATACAATTAAATTTTCATTAAGAATTTTGATATTATATATATGAAATAATTAATCGACGATATTGTTTCTTTCCTAAATAACATAAAAAAAAGATACCAGGTTTACCTACTAAATGCAAACGTGCACAAAAATAAAAGTATCTAGAAAACTATGTCAAAATTATTTGGATAAATATATTATCTTAATAGAAAAACATGAACATAATCATATATATAAACATTTGGCTTAATACATAATCATTATATAAAAAAACAATAAATAAAGAAACAAATAATTACATAAAAAGAAAGGAGGAGGATAAAAGTATTTTTTTTTAAAGTTAAAAATGTAGTGTGGAAGAGGTAAGAAAAGACTAGAAGATGTTAGAAGACATAGGTTTGTATTTGCGCCAAGAAGACGACGCGCTGACAATTTAGGTCTGCGGTCTTCTGAAAAACAAACAGTTTGCAAGACTAAACGTCTGCTCGACGCAGACATAAGAGGTCAAGAAGAGCTTTTGCAGAAAAACATTTTCTAATGCTATTTTTATTTTTTGATATTTTTAGAGTTAGTTTTGAGTTGGAACCGGGAGCAGTTGGACAGATGACTGATTTCAAAGAGCCAAATAAGAAACTTGAGTGGGGGTTAAAAAAGGTATTTCACTTGACAAATCACAATCACAATCACATCCTCCACCAATTATTTAAAATTTTTATGGAGTTACTTACATAACAAATTTCATCCCAGATTGTTGGTGGATCCGAACACACACTTCGTGCCAAATTAACATTTTCACATGAATCACATGGTATGTGATTTCTAAAACCTTAATAAAAACTTTTAAATAACCATATAATAATACTATTAAACGTTTTCTTTTGCAAAAATAGGTAACATAACAAAAGAAGCTGGCCCTGTCAGCATGACCTTCACCATACCAATGTACAACTGCTCAAGACTCCAGGTAAATTAATTAATTAATTAAATTCAATAGTTTCAACTCTTAACTTATATTAATCCATTTTTATTTTTTCTCTTATTATAGGTGAAATACTTGCAAATTGCTAAAAAGTCAAAAACTTATAATCCATATCGATGGGTGAGATATGTCACACAAGCCAATTCATATGTTGCGCGTATATGATGTCTCTTTGTCTCTCTTACACTTATTATGTTTGTGTAACGATAGATTTCTCTTTAATGTTTGAGACTTTTAAATTACTTCAAAAATCTTCAACGTACTATATGTTTTTTGATATATTGATGTTAAAAATATGTTCTAGAAAGTATATTATTTTTATACATCCATTCCACGTGCGAATTGAGTATGTGGCTCTAAAGAAATTGAGTGGGAATGGGATGTTCGATTTTGAGACGCACTCACTCGATATAAGTGCTATAATTGAAACGCACTCACTTGATATAAGTGGTTCCATTGACCATATATGGACAGCTTTTATTTTCATGGTACAAGCACTTGTGTTGTGGAATAACGTATTTGAAAATGATATAAAATTGGGTTCATTTTAATAAAAAGACTATGGGTCTTATGATAAATTTCATTTGGTTCCACTCCTTCCACCCTAAGTAGGGGATGAGCATTATTTGATTTGGAACCACAAAAAACAGAATATCAAAACCAAAATGAAAATGAATTCGGACCAAACCAATTTTAAAATTTGATTTTAGGTTTGGTTTCTAACATTCTCAAATTATGAATTTGGTTTATGGGTTGAGTTATGATCCAGTGGAGTTTAGACCAAACCAAAACGGATTACAAAATTTTATTTTATTTTTGTTAATTAAATGGCAAGTTGCAAGAAAGTCACTATGTTATTGGAAAATTTTGATTTTGATATGGAATTTCTTTTTATTTTTATTTTTTTTTAATTATATCATTATATTTACAATTTTGTTGCAATATCAGTCAAATGATCGGTTTTCCTGGTAACCATTTCCCGATTTGCAATGAAGTCAAAAAGTTTACCAAAATTTTGATTTCGATACCGGATTTCAAATTGCAAAAAAATCACTATATTATCACAAAATTTTGATTTTGACACCGAGTTTTTTTTGTCAATTATGTTATTACATTTACATTTTTGTTGTAATGTCAACCAGTTGATCGATTTATGGCCAAACCTTCACCAGAAAATGATATGAATTTCAAAAATTAAACCAGAAAATTTATACAAAAAAACATCAAGATGAACTCAGAAATTGTGGGTGACAACATAACTTATGCCTATTAGGTGGCTATCACCACCCCCAACTCTTCGTCCCTTTCTCCTCTTTTTATTTTTCTTTTGAAGACAATGATCGGTCTTGTATGTGTATGTGTGTGCTGCATCGCGAATTAGAAATCAAATCCATAGTGTGTTTGATTTCTTAGAATTGAATCACACAAATCACAAATCCCCATTTCTAAAATTTAGACATAGAGACCGATGAAGAAGACGTGATGGTGGGATGGGGCGGAGGCTTATTTTTTTTTTCCTTTTTTTTTTAAATATAAAATAAATTGTAGTTAATTAAAAAAATAGATAAAAGAAACTGAATGGGTAAATAATTCATTTTATGTGTTTCAGGACCAACTATGCTAGTGTTAGAAACCATAGAGACCATGTTCTCCAATAAAAATTAACAGGGATTGAAGTTGTGATTTTTGGTAAAGCACAAGAACCATTTATGTAATTTTATGTATTTAATATTTGAAACTTATATTTATATGACTAAATTGCAAAATGGTCCCTATGGTTTGTAAAATCATGTGGTTTTAGTCCAAAAAGTTTTGATGGTGCACAAATGGTCAAAAATTGGTTCTTTTTATTGGTTATGGTCCTTATACACTTAAAAAACAGCTAAAATACATAAATTAATTTAATTCATATATATTTTTAACTTAAAACAAAAAGTACCCCATTTCTCTTGCCATCTCTCTCAAAACATATACACACATACACATACACATACACACATACACTTAAGAAACAAATCACCACCGACTACTACCATTATCATCACTGACTACCACCATCGACTGCCACCACAAACATCCAATCATACCCTCACCCCTATTTTTCCTTCCTCAGACCCGATAAAATTGCCACCACCGACTGCCTTTTACTCCTCTTTGCCTCAAGACAAATCTAATGGAGAATAGAAAGCTTCTTTAAGTCAATAATCAGTTTGAAACTCAAAATTGAGAAAAGAAAAGGGAATAAAGAAGGTAGTCGGACCTGTGATTACAAGAATAACTTAGGAAACAACCCCATGGAAAGCAGGAATGTAGTAATTAGGCTCATAAAAGCCAACATTCAAGAGTAAAAAAGGTAGGCGAGGATGAAACATAGTTGTTGGATGTTACAGAGAGGAGAGGGGGAATGAGAGGCGAGACAAGCTAGAACTCCCTTAGACTATCTTGCCGCCAAACTCTGGTTTTGGGGAAATCAATATAACCTTCATTACCACAATTATTGGATGTTATAGAGATGAGATGGGGAATGAGAGGCAAGAAAAGCTAGACTTCCCTTAGACCATCATCGTTGCCGCCAGACTCTAGTTTTGAGGAAATCGATATAACGTTCATATTGTCGAGTATGCATTCAACCCAAGCCCTAGGTTCCAATTTTGGAGAAATTGATCTAACCTTCATTACCAGTTGCACTGGTATCTGATGGATGATGATGAAGCATGAAGATGATAAACAATCGCATTGGTGTGGATCTCGACTGTTGAAATGGTGAAACAAGCTTGATGATGGTGGATTTTAGGACAAGGTTGAGGTGGAGAAGACGCTGAAAACAATTAAAAAGAAATAAAAAACTATTTTAAAGGCATATTGGTCATTTTAGATTGGGTATGAACTAAAATCACACAAAAATGTCAACCTTAGGAACCAAAACCACATAATGTATCCGAAATTGGATCATTAATACATCACAACTTTTTTGGACCAAAACTGCAAAATGTTGCCAACCACAAGGATGATTTTTGCAATTTTATCTATTTATATTTGTATTTGAAAATTTGAATTTTATGCTTAAAAATTTGAACTTTGGATTTTATTTTCAACCTTTAAATTTATTATTTTTGGTTCTTAAAATTGTGTCAACCGGAATTATAATTTGGTTTTTGGTTTCGTATGTAACTATGGATAGCCTTGATTGGTTCAATTTTTGGTTTGTATCAAAAAATATTTCAAATGGAGGAAATCAAACCAAACAAACCTAAAAAGGTTGGGTTTCTAGGCCTGACAATTCCCGATACGACCCGCGACACAATCCGTGACACGACACGAAATAAATGGGTTTGGACCAACACGCTAACCAGCCAACCCACCAACATGTTTATTAAACGGGTCATATATGAGTTTATCAAAAAATAAACAGGTTCACCTGCCAGCCCGTTTATATTCTTATTAAAAAATTTATTTTATTTTTAAATGTATTTATATATCAACTATATATATATATATATATATATATATATATATATATATATATATATATATATATATATATATACACACACACCATTGATTCATAGACCATTTGATTGTTTTGACGTTTTGACTCGGGGTGGATGGTCTAAGGTCGTAAGTCGTAACCTATAATGCTTAGTCTATAAAATGTTTCTATGAATGTTTTTAATTTTCATTTTGATGTTTAAAAATTAGATGCCTAAAATTCGGATATGTTGACATCAACCATCAATAATTTATTCATGTTTAATTGTTAATTTTATTTATGGAATCTAAGCCATGAACCCAAATCTAACCTACGAACATGCCAACCTGTGAACCTGTATAAATAGATGGGTTGACGGGTCATATATGAGTTTATGTTCCAAACCCGCCAATTCGTGACCCGCCAACACGTGACCTGTATATTTAAATGGGTTGTGTTTGGGTTGACATATTTTGACCTGTCAACCCGCCAACCTACGACATGCCAACCTAAACACGACACGATTACCAGACTTATGGGTTTCCGAGTAATAAGTTGAAAATAGAAAACCATTGAAAGAGTACTATTGTGGCTAAGGTTGTACTGTATTAAAGAAATTCAAAGTATCACTGGTTGAATCAAAAAAGAATTTTCGTATGGTTGAATCGATTTTTTTGATCAAACTAAATGGGTTTTATTTATTTTAAAGTTTTGTGTAATGATTTAGCAGAAAAAAAAAAAAAAAAAAACCAAAACTCAACTGTTAAATCAGAAAAATATTCTTCTGATGATTCAACCGAAAAAATTACAGATTATAATCGTTTTTATGAAATTTAGCCTTAAACAATTCATTGATGCCTATCAATATCATCGACATACTGTAGACATAAAGACGCGATATGTTATATAAGACGACAAAAATGAAAAGTCTACGAATTGACCATTGGAAAGATGCATAGGGTATGAGTTTATATGATTAAAAACAGGAATTATATTTATGTATTTTTTTAGTTAGCATCACGTTTAGTATATAACATATAGTCTTACAAATTGATTTTGAAAGCGTGTCTTTATTCTTTGAAACAATTAATTGACTAAAATACATTTTTCACATGCATTTTGTTTAGAAAAAAAAATATATATACGTAATCTATCCTTAGATCATCTATAATGATGAGTTCAACAAAAGAGTTGAATGAAGTAACAAGTCTATATATTATTCAATAGATGAAACTTTACCATTGTGAGACGTCATCTTGACTATAAATTTAGACGTAATCTTGACTTTACCATTGTGAGACGTGCAATAAATTTAGAGTTAAATGGGAAAAATGAAAGTTTTTAATTCTTAAATATTTACTATAAGTTACATGTTCTAACATTTTATTGAATTTTGTAGAGTCCAATATATTGTAGGAAAAAAATAATAGAGTTTTATGAATTGTAGAAAGATGATATGACAATCCATTGAACTCTATCGAATTCAATACATTGTGGATACCCTTAGGTTGATCGAGTTGGCCATTGATGACTGTAGTTTAGAAATGTACTGACAGTACTGTCCGAAACACGATTATGACTGTCTAGTTCCACCAAAAGTTGAGGGTGGAGCAGTCTCTTGGGAGGAATGATGTGTGATTTGAAATGGATGAATTTAGGTGTTGAAAACAAATGAAAAGAAAAAAAATGATGTCATTTATGTGTTATTTGTGCTTTTGGGAGGAATGAGAAGAATAAACTCCCTCCGCCCTTTATAGAACATGTTATCAATTAAAAATCTTCTCGTCAATTTAAAAACATATATTTAAAACTAAAGTTCAATCTGCAACAAAAAGATTGTAGATAATTTATTTTAGCAAAAAGTCAATTTAGATCTTGGATAAGTGAAAATTTATTTAATTCTAAAGTTGTAACAGAAGTCTATAAAGGTTA